CTTACAATCAGACAATCTACCAAACAATCAGACACAATCAGACAATCTACCATCTTACAATCAGACAATCTACCATCTTACAATCAGACAATCTACCATCTTACAATCAGACAATCTACCACCTTACAATCAGACGATCTACCATCTTACAATCAGACGATCTACCATCTTACAATCAGACAATCTACCAACCTATAATCAGACGATCTACCATCTTACAATCAGACAATCTACCTGCCCTACAATTCTCTCCTATATCTTACATATTGGTTTCTACAATATATCTTACATATTGGTTTCTGCCCTACAATTCACCATCTCCTATATCTTACATATTGGTTTCTGCCCTACAATTCACCATCTCCTATATCTTACATATTGGTTTCTGCCCTACAATTCACCATCTCCTATATCTTACATATTGGTTTCTGCCCTACAATTCACCATCTCCTATATCTTACATATTGGTTTCTGCCCTACAATTCACCATCTCCTATATCTTACATATTGGTTTCTGCCCTACAATTCACCATCTCCTATATCTTACATATTGGTTTCTGCCCTACAATTCACCATCTCCTATATCTTACATATTGGTTTCTGCCCTACAATTCACCATCTCCTATATCTTACATATTGGTTTCTGCCCTACAATTCACCATCTCCTATATCTTACATATTGGTTTCTGCCCTACAATTCACCATCTCCTATATCTTACATATTGGTTTCTGCCCTACAATTCACCATCTCCTATATCTTACATATTGGTTTCTGCCCTACAATTCACCATCTCCTATATCTTACATATTGGTTTCTGCCCTACAATTCACCATCTCCTATATCTTACATATTGGTTTCTGCCCTACAATTCACCATCTCCTATATCTTACATATTGGTTTCTGCCCTACAATTCACCATCTCCTATATCTTACATATTGGTTTCTGCCCTACAATTCAACATCTCCTATATCTTACATATTGGTTTCTGCCCTACAATTCACCATCTCCTATATCTTACATATTGGTTTCTGCCCTACAATTCACCATCTCCTATATCTTACATATTGGTTTCTGCCCTACAATTCACCATCTCCTATATCTTACATATTGGTTTCTGCCCTACAATTCACCATCTCCTATATCTTACATATTGGTTTCTGCCCTACAATTCACCATCTCCTATATCTTACATATTGGTTTCTGCCCTACAACATTTGGTTTCACCATCTCCTATATCTTACATATTGGTTTCTGCCCTACAATTCACCATCTCCTATATCTTACATATTGGTTTCTGCCCTACAATTCACCATCTCCTATATCTTACATATTGGTTTCTGCCCTACAATTCACCATCTCCTATATCCATATTGGTTTCTCCCTATATATCTTACATATTGGTTTCTGCCCTACAATTCACCATCTCCTATATCTTACATATTGGTTTCTGCCCTACAATTCACCATCTCCTATATCTTACATATTGGTTTCTGCCCTACAATTCACCATCTCCTATATCTTACATATTGGTTTCTGCCCTACAATTCACCATCTCCTATATCTTACATATTGGTTTCTGCCCTACAATTCACCATCTCCTATATCTTACATATTGGTTTCTGCCCTACAATTCACCATCTCCTATATCTTACATATTGGTTTCTGCCCTACAATTCACCATCTCCTATATCTTACATATTGGTTTCTGCCCTACAATTCACCATCTCCTATATCTTACATATTGGTTTCTGCCCTACAATTCACCATCTCCTATATCTTACATATTGGTTTCTGCCCTACAATTCACCATCTCCTATATCTTACATATTGGTTTCTGCCCTACAATTCACCATCTCCTATATCTTACATATTGGTTTCTGCCCTACAATTCACCATCTCCTATATCTTACATATTGGTTTCTGCCCTACAATTCACCATCTCCTATATCTTACATATTGGTTTCTGCCCTACAATTCACCATCTCCTATATCTTACATATTGGTTTCTGCCCTACAATTCACCATCTCCTATATCTTACATATTGGTTTCTGCCCTACAACTTACCATCTCCTATATCTTACATATTGGTTTCTGCCCTACAACTTACCATCTCCTATATCTTACATATTGGTTTCTGCCCTACAATTCACCATCTCCTATATCTTACATATTGGTTTCTGCCCTACAATTCACCATCTCCTATATCTTACATATTGGTTTCTGCCCTACAATTCACCATCTCCTATATCTTACATATTGGTTTCTGCCCTACAATTCACCATCTCCTATATCTTACATATTGGTTTCTGCCCTACAATTCACCATCTCCTATATCTTACATATTGGTTTCTGCCCTACAATTCACCATCTCCTATATCTTACATATTGGTTTCTGCCCTACAATTCACCATCTCCTATATCTTACATATTGGTTTCTGCCCTACAATTCACCATCTCCTATATCTTACATATTGGTTTCTGCCCTACAACTTACCATCTCCTATATCTTACATATTGGTTTCTGCCCTACAATTCACCATCTCCTATATCTTACATATTGGTCTCTGTCTTGGAATTCACCATCTCCTGCATTTTACATATTGGTCTATGTCTTTGAATTCACCATTTCCTATATCTCAGGTATTGCTTTCAGCCCACATTTTCATATTCAGGTACCGGTTTCAGTATTTTTGAATACTGATTTCATGTTTGGTATGTTCAATCTTTTATATATAGTAAATTATTTGTTTCAGCCCTGGTATTCACCCTTTCCTTTACATTAAGATAATCAAATGCCCAAGAAGGCCACCTGTTGGTTTCCTGTTGGCCGTCTTGTGCTTTGTCTAAACCTCAATGACAACACATAAACAAATACATAATATAAGAAAAGTGCATAGTCTAAGATTTGAGAAAGTTCTAACCATTACTTTTTGAGAAATACATATAGTGATAACAAACTTCAAGCGTCATATACAAGACGGCAATATAATGACCATCATATTCCTCCAATAAGCATTAAAATGACACCGTTAGGAATCAGATAAAATCATTGAAAGAGATGTATGAAAGTCATCATGGCTGTTATATTGGATTTCAGACAAACTTGAAAAATAAACATATACATGCCATTCCTGTTACATCTGAAGTAGAATTGCCATAAATATGTTCCTGATAAGTATTGCTGATACAATATCAATCAATCATCGGGGACATATGTTACCACTAATATATCTATATACACCTAGAAATCTATCTGGTATATAGCACTATAGACAAAAACCGGCTTTAGCACTATAACCTGCAGAAAGCCATTTGTACTGGCTTCAACTTTTTACATATGACAGTTGTGCCAAATTTGGGTACATGATTATTTTCTAACTTGGTACCAACCTGACATCATTAGTGAGATGCGGCAGATTTTAGCCTTGCAGGCATTTGTTTCTGCCTCTCCCTAAAACATCATTATAAACATACTGATTAGTAGAGTTGAAAGCAAGTCAGAAAAATATTGCCAATTTATTGAGAATTGTGTGATTGAATGTGCTCGAGGTGATGCTGAGTACAGGAAAGCACATATGCTTAACCCTCCAAATTCAATCCCGTTGGCTCAGTACACAAACCCGTTTAGGACAACTCTTATTCGTTTATGTATGGGGTAACCTGCTTTTGTGGTTATTTGCTAAGGAATCTGTTTTGTAAAGATGTAATTAATGAACCTAATTATCATCAGATGGAGGTTTATTATACCATGACTGTGTAATTCAGTTACACAACAGGCATACCACAACTTTATATTGGTGGAACATTAATGCCTTCTAACTCAAGGCATTTACTAGCCTAATCGAAGAAAGAAATACAGAAATTTAAAATAATAGCAGAATTCTATTAATTTTAAAGTACTCTGGTCTAATTTATACCACATACTCAGATAGATATTGTGAGACAGTAAAAATGAATGAGCTGTCTTGTTTATACAAGTCTCAAAGAATAAGTCGATGACTGATTGCCACAGAAGTCTACACAATGGCTATGCCATATTATTTGGTAACAATAAATAATGAAATTAAGTAGGAGTTTAATTTGGAGAACATTATTAACACGACTAGATCATGACCCTGCAGAAGTGGATTCCCGTCAACATCAGGTGTGTGACCCCTGTCACACATACATGTTCTGGTGAAGTGAGGTAGCATTCAGGGAACATACTCCTAACATTGGATGGATCGTGATGACCCTCTCGGGAACTTTAAGGAAGACTTATGGTTACCAAGTTCACTAGTAAGTATCTCCTTGTCATTAATGGTGACATATTGATAGTAGCGACACAATGTTAATTGTGAATTGACATGGGTAGTCTTGGTGGAGTGCAGTAACCAGACCTTATCCTTTATCTTGTTTGGACATCAGTTAGTATCATAACAAAGTAATAGAATGTATGAAAATCCTGTGTCTACCAAACTTAGCAACTAGCAAAAGGTTAATGAGCTTGGAGGAGCATACCAGTGTCATCGCTAATCATGTCACAGCTCAGCCTTTTTTGTTTTCTCACATCACTGTGAATGGACATAACACAAATGCAGCAGAACTTTGAGCAGTCTTGTGCTCTTGTTCAGGATCACATGACTTTTGTTCCCATCCATCCATGACAAATAAAGCTACTAAGCATAGAATAAATCAGATGTTTTTGTGACTGGGGATTAATGACTGAATAAGGAAGAAAACATGGAGAACAAAACAGAAGAGTTGTAGATGATGTCAGGGGTTCAAGTCGCCATTTCATGTTCAGTAATAATAATAATGCTGTTAATTCCTTTATATTTGTTGGACCCAAATTTACACAAATTTTCATTTTCACTTAGCTTCATAGGTAAATCTTACTCAAGAAATGAACTTGTACTGTTTATCATTTCCTGAACTTGTAAAGTTGTAGATTAAAAGTGACCATGAAATGACAATAAAACCCCCGCCATGACTGATATAATTCTCTATATACTTACCTAAGTTAACAAATGAACTGCTGAATTGATATGATATATTGAATCCTTTACGGTCGAATGCGAAATCGACATTGTTATCAAGTGGGGTACTCTCTAGGTCGACACGTCCACTACTAGTAACAAACTCGATATAAAGGAACTCCTGACTCGAGTAAAACTCCACATTTCTATAGCTACCACAAAAGGTACCAATGATGGTTGCTGATCTGTCACGACCGTCCCTGACCCTGACGTAGTCAAATGGGCAGCTGTAACATGAAATAAATTTATAAATAGCAATAACTAACTAAATTCCATTTTTATATAAAGTGACCTTCAAATTTACATAATTTACTTCACAAACAATTTTCAAATAAGATATTCTGTTTATCAACCTTAGTAGACTTTTGTATCAATGTCAAATTACTTCATATGTAAGGCACATCTTCAGATCATTGTCAAGGTTACCACACATAGTGTACAAACAAAGATTGTTGCCAAGGTTACCACACATGTAAGGCACATCTTCAGATCATTGTCAAGGTTACCACACATATAGTGTACAAATAAAGATTGTTGCCAAGGTTACCACACATGTAAGGCACATCTTCAGATCATTGTCAAGGTTACTACACATGTAGTGTACAACTGAAGATCGTTGCCAAGGTTACCACACATACAGTGTACAACTAAAGATTGTTGCCAAGGTTACCACACATACAGTGTACAACTAAAGATTGTTGCCAAGGTTACCACATGTGTAGTGTACATTTCAGATCATTGCCAAGGTTACCACACATGTAGTGTACATTTCAGATCATTGTCAAGGTTACCATATACATACTGCTATACTTACTAATCTCCACCATGATAGAGAGAGAAGTCTATAAACTTGATGTGGATGCGTTGACCAGGAGCTCCTTGGAGGAGGTAATTACAATGGAGTCGGTCAGGGTAGAACCCAGGATAGGTAGGAGAAACAATGTATCCAAAAGGCTTTCGTACTCCATTGATGGTAAAGTTACAAGTGTCCGGGTCTGTTTGTGTACCAATAGCATACACAGCTGAAATAAGAACATATCTCTTCAATCAAACCCCTCCATCCTCAGTGTCTACATTAGAATCATAGGCTTGGACAAATCTAATGTGGGCTCCGGGGAGGAGGGGTTACTCATTATACACACCGTACAAGGTCAAACATCAACGTCACACAGTGTCACACAGAAAGAACATTTTACAGTGACATAATTTTCACAGACATAAATTTTACAGAGACTCGGTTTAGAAAATATTTAGACACAGTAAAAAACAAACTTAACATTACTCAGAATGCATCCATTTTAGACAGGTGTAGAGAGAGTGCCATCAAAAATATTGAGTCTTGCAGAAAGGTAATTCAATGTAACAGTGAAAGCATAAAGGTCATAGAGACTGGCATGGAAAATATCAAGGTAATGAATAGAATGTGACACAGAAAACAAGAAACGTGACACAGAAAACATCAAGATCGTTGAATGTGAGAGTGAAGAGCAGAGTGATTTATCCAAGCCATCCAGAGTTTTTAAAATGTGCAGCTAAAAGTGAAACAGAAAATCTTTAAGATCAGATTAAATCAATCAATCACACATCCCTTCCTCTTCTTACCTCACCTTTCCCCTCCCCCTTTATCACATAAACCTTCCTCTTCTTACCTCACCTTTCCCCTCCCCCTTTATCACATAAACCTTCCTCTTCTTACCTCTCCTTTCCCCTCCCCCTTTATCACATAATCCTTCCTCTTCTTACCTCACCTTTCCCCTCCCCCTTTATCACATAAACCTTCCTCTTCTTACCTCTCCTTTCCCCTCCCCCTTTATCACATAATCCTTCCTCTTCTTACCTCACCTTTCCCCTCCCCCTTTATCACATAAACCTTCCTCTTCTTACCTCACCTTTCCTCTCCCCCTTTATCACATAAACCTTCCTCTTCTTACCTTTATCACATAAACCTTCCTCTTCTTACCTCACCTTTCCTCTCCCCCTTTATCACATAAACCTTCCTCTTCTTACCTCACCTTTCCTCTCCCCCTTTATCACATAAATCTTCCTCTTCCCCACGTAATATCACCCTACCCTCCATTCATCATATCCTTACTGTCTCCAATATCTATCACATATCCCCCCTCTCCGATGACCGAGTTTCACTGTATAGAGGCATACAGTTGATCTCAGTAACTGTGTGTTGTTCATGGTGATTTGATAAGTTTATGACCTGAATGTGTATGACACTCTCATTATCTGATGACAGCTAATAACTTGTGCCATTGCTATAAACTAAAATGACAGCCCTCTGCCTACTAGAACCAACACTTTTATCTCTTATTTACTATCTAACTACACTGTAAATTGAAAATGATTGGTAACACCTGACATGATTAACTTCTGGGCATGTATAGCATGTTGATGTTACATGGCATGTTTTCATCAAATTGAATTTCAGAAATGAACAGAAACAGATTGAGATATTGACATCACATTACAGTGATTAATGTCAAATAAGTTATTGATATCACATGATGTAAATGAGATCATGATGTACTGATGTCACATAATGAAACAGTGAGTATTGATGTCACATGATATAGCTGAGATCATGATGTACTGATGTCACATAATGAAACAGTGAGTATTGATGTCACATGATATAGCTGAGATCATGATGTACTGATGTCACATAATGAAACAGTGAGTATTGATGTCACATGATATAGCTGAGATCATGATGTACTGATGTCACATATTGAAACAGTGAGTATTGATGTCACATGATATAGCTGAGATCATGATGTACTGATGTCACATAATGAAACAGTGAGTATTGATGTCAAATGATATAGCTGTGATCATGATGTACTGATGTCACATGATGAAACAGTGAATATTGATGTCACATGATATAGCTGTGATCATGATGTACTGATGTCACATGATGAAACAGTGAATATTGATGTCACATGATATAGCCGAGATCATGATGTACTGATGTCACATGATGAAACAGTGAATATTGATGTCACATGATATAGCTGTGATCATGATGTACTGACGTCACATGATGAAACAGTGAGTATTGATGTCACATGATATAAGTTAGATCATGATGTACTGATGTCACATGATGAAACAGTGAGTATTGATGTCACATGATATAGCTGTGATCATGATATACTGATGTCACATAATGAAACAGTGAATATTGATGTCACATGATATAGCTGTGGTCATGATGTACTAATGTCACATGATGAAACAGTGAGTATTGATGTCACATGATATAAGTTAGATCATGAGGTACTGATGTAACATGATATAGCTGTGATAATGATGTACTAATGTTAAATGATACAAGAGGCCCAATGGGTTTGCATCGCTTACTTGGTAATTCAATGTTCGTCAAAAATAGAATCACTGTTTATCACAAATATATTTACACTTATACCATTTACATTCAAAGTAGGCACATCTAATGAATTCAAACCAATTTTGACAACAAACAGCCTCTAATACTCAACTCTAAACAGTGACAATTATTATATGGATTATAGGTAAATGCCATTTCTCAAAATTTGTCGAGCTTTCACCTCGAAGCACCTTTCCACCAAATATTATGCATCTCGGACTTTTGTTTTATCAGAAGAACTCTTTCAAAAGTTTTGATAATTTGAACCCTGTGACTTTGAAGCTGGTTCAAGGTCATTTCATTTTTGCAAAATTTGTTGGGTTTCATCCCAAAGACCCATCAGTCAAATATCATGCTTCTGGCCTTTTGATCCTGTGTCCTTGATTGAATAAGGGTTAAGGTAATTTCTTTTCGCAAATTTTGTTGGACTCAATCCCAGCAACCTATCAGCGAACTAGCATGACATATCTCACCTGCTGGTTATAGAGGGGAAGTCATTTGAATGAAAAAATTGACATGGGATGGACAGATGGACCACAGACAGACAACTGATTACAAATGGATGTGGCAGCACCTGTCATATTACAGCTAGTATTTACCAGGGTTACATACTTCCCCTGCAGAAAAGAATTCAAGTTTCCATGGGTTAAACCAATCTCATGGGGCATGGCAAAGAAATAATCCCGAGTCCTTACATAGACACCAATGTTATCAGGATTACTATGTTATTGATGAGGTAAACTGACTAGAATTTACAGGGGTTACAATTCCATGTACTACTTCAACACGCATAGGTATGAACAGCTTGGTGAAGTGAGAAGAAATGGCAGGGAATGACCAAACAACAAGTCAGTCACTTAGCCTGTTAAAAAAAATATATATCAGTAGTTAAATTTCAGACAATAGATAAGTGTATAAACAGCAGGTGTTGAATTGATTTCAGCTGTGTCCTGTATAATGGTAACTTCATTATTATGTGTCTGTCAGCGGGGGTTTCCTTATACCGGAACAAAAAAGAAACCGTGGGTTATTGTATAGCTCACCACTAGGAAGTGAAACTTTTATTGTAGATTGTCTGATGTGATTGCAAATCAGAAAAAAAGCAATCATGTACGACGTTGACAATTGTTACCAGATAAGTCTCATCAAGATTCTCAACCTTGAAGAGGAAGCGTTTCACTAGATTTAAAGCATGTAGCCATTGAAACTGGTGTGATTGATCCTTTCTTCTGTTTCTGATACAGCGTCGTTACAAAAATAGAACCCTGATGTAAAAACCAGACCAATACTTAAAACCATGGACAGGTGCATAGTGCACAGGACGTAACTCACACTCATCAAATCTCAGATGGGCATTAATTACATTTCATGGCAAGTGTAATTTGTCTCAGTTACGGTTTGATCCAATTTAAATCCTACATTGCTGAGGAAAATAAATGAGAATCTATCATGGACAGCAGAACATTGAAGGCCACCTGGAAGAAGCCAATGCTGTCATTTCCACATGTGGAGGTGGACAAGATATGTTGAAGGTCAAAGCGGTACCCAACATCAGTTATACCAACATGAGGGCAAAGACAATTAAAGGTCAAGGAGGTATAAAGTCAGAATTTCCACCAGTTGTGGTGAAGGTCAAGGAAATATCACATATTACCGGGTTGTTATAACTGAATGGGGCCAAGGTCATGAAGGAACCAGGCACATATTTGAATTCCTACACATTGATAAACATACAGAGAGTACAGAAGACCAAACAGATATCACACAAATGCTATCCAGGTACTCAGGGGAGCACCAAACAACAGTATGACAAAAGCTGGACAATAAAGCATTAAAGGAAAAGAGGGTGTTAAACAACAGGCATTAAGGTCAAACTGGCACTAACCAATAGTCATACAAATACTGGGGTCAAGGAACATTGAAAATCCAGAGGGCGCTAAGCAACAGGCATTAAGGTCAAACTGGCACTAACCAATAGTCATACAAATACTGGGGTCAAGGAACATAGAAAATCCAGAGGGCGCTAAGCAACAGGCATTAAGGTCAAACTGGCACCAACAAATACTCATACAATTACGTGGGTCAAGGAACATTGAAAATCCAGAAGGCACTCAACGAAACCCAATGAATGTCAATGTGGCATTCTCTTATTGCCCATACATGGATAAACAAGTGACAGTGATGGTCAAAGAATAAGGGGTGGAAAGCACCAACTATTAACACAACAAACATCAGTTCACATGGGTCAACAATGAGGGTCAGTCAGTCACAATCAGCCTTAATAGATGTAGGCTATTAAATGTTTGAAAGTCTACTCACCTGAAATTCAATAAAATAAAAATTCTGACATTTCCAGGTATAAAGAAACCAATTAATTCTCAAGTTGACCTAAATCTTTTCCTTTGAATGAGCAAGATTTATATTAACATGATGGTATTTTTTTTGATATCATATCGATAAAAAAACTAAATGACATATGCTATTTTTTTGGTGTGTTTATTTATTATTATTGTTTTTTTGCATTGCTCCTTTTCATATAATTCAATTTTTAAGGGGTAAATTTTCAAATATAATGATCAGTGCTCTGAATTCTCTTACATGCATCGATAAATGTGAAGGATCCATTGAAGCCGGCATCAGTGGTTTTGTCATCTGAGTAAAAGTCCAGTACCAAGATATTACTGGTGGAGATAACCAACTTAGGGAGGTAAGAAAGACTGTTATCACAGAAACGGCCAAGAAGGGGCGTGTCCAGCAAACTCTGCTTTGGGCCTGTCACCTGGGCGTAAATATCCATGTAGTCAAAACGGCATCTAAAAAAAGAAGATTTCCATGTAGTAAAACAGCATCTACAAAATACAAAGATTCCATGAAGTAAAAAACTGTCTACAAACTACAAGATTTTCTTTAAGTCAAAATAATAATACAATTTTGATTTCATGCAGTGTAAATCTAAATCTTTAATAAACATTGAATCTATGAACACATTAAATGATATATATTCAGGCTATTCATTCACTACCTATGTCTCTATCAAAAATAAATTACAGAGACAGACCACAATCAAAAGAATTTTTTTATCTTTTATTGAAGTGTTTTCTGGTGGAGAAATCATTTATAGACAATGCCATATTTCATGGGTTGTGTGTCAATCAATGACCACAACAGCTATTCAGACTTGTACAGGGGAGGAAATTGGGTTCACCAGAGCAAAGCATCTTCTCTGAAAGACAGACAGCTAGATATACCTCAGATAGCAATGTGTAGCTTTGTGATAGCAGACAAGGGCAGATGATCATGTGGTGTGTAGATGTCTATAGACGCAGTGTGATTCTAGCTTTGTAATGTCTTATGTCAGTAAGCTACATCTCACAGTCCTTCTATTTCCTGTGACAAGACATGCTCGAGACTAATCAGTATGAGATTATGCAACATTGTCAACATAGATAAAACAGTGGTACTGCCCAGTAAAAAAATATGCTACCCAGTAAACACATGCTGTCCAGTAAAAACACCTCCTGTCAGTCCCCCCGCCAGATCAAGCCATTATTATGTTTAGGCAGACACAATGGGATTGGGGAGACAACATGAAATTCAATTGGCAATTGATTTCAGAAGAAAAAATAAGCATTAGAAAGCTGAATTGTCTTCCATGATGATATCAGCCAGACTCAAAACTGCTGTTCTGATGACACATCAACCAGCAGTGTTGCTCAGTCGGACAGCATAGCACATCGTACTGCGCCATCAAGGTCCGACAAGTTCAGTTTAAAATGAAAGAAATTCATTTGAAATTGAATCCTGGCCAGGGAAATGACTACATTACACAGAAGTAACACATTTATCTCACTCATTTCCGTGCTCCCTCTCCGTGACGCTGGCGTTCCCTGTATGTCTGACCCATATAAAATCCTATTATTTGATTTGATATAAAACTTGGGGAAGGATTTCAGGACCGTTGGATGACCTTCTAGGATTATACCAGTCATTGTCGATACATAGGAAAATATGTCTCAATTCTACATATTATTGCTTATTCTTGATATTTTTGCATGATTTCTTACAAACCATTACCCACATAAGATGTCAACGTGGATAGTTTGTTAAAGTGCTTCCACTACTGTAAACATCAGCAGTTTTCTTGTGTACTTACAGCAGAGGAATTGTCAATAACAACTGCTTCATTTGACCCGAGGGATGAACACAACTATATCAGCTCGATGGATGAAACTGAGAGGGAGCCGACTCCCTGCATCAGCGTACGCATATTTTCACAAGATAATTCATGTATTTTGGATTTTTATCAAATGACAAAATCTGTCTTGAAGGCCACTTTATCCTGCGAGTTAAATTTGATTCTAGTCCATGATTTAAATTTTCTATAAATATACAGATTCTATATTACAAAGACAACATATTTGATGCACCTTATCAATACCCAAGGGAAACAACTCAATACTTGTTTTTCTTTCTCAAAAAATACAACATGGATGCAGGGTCTTTATCAAAATAGAGGCATGGTATGATTGAGATATCAGTGACAGATGGGACTGCCACTGTTGAAATCCTGTGGGATGTTGTAAAGTTCATAGGATACAATGACATTGGTGCCACGTCTCACATTGCAAAGCATTACTGTACACAATGTAAGTAGGCACAATGGTTAGAACCATCAAATCACCTTCACATAAACCATTAAAGTCAGTGATTCTGATGGCTACATCTGACCCTTTTTTATGCCTTGGTAGTGCCTAAAGCATTAGAATGTCAGTGTACCAAGATCCCTGATAGGCTGTCATCCTGCTTCCTGATAACTCATACCTTCTCTATCAGACTGATGGCAGATAACTGTGTCCAGCACTATCACATAATCAACATTTCAGTGGAACAACTATTTTGGTTCCAATCCATTAAATGAAAAGTTGAGAATCATGATGAAAGAGTTTGTGGTCAGTAAAACGCGGAACTTAGGAAATGCTGGTCATCGTATCATCCATAATTCTGTCTCATTTTTCATTCCCAGATGAAGGCAGAAGTCTGTACAGGTAAAACGTTTAAGTAAATACCTACTCGGGGTCCGGTAATGACACTACGGGCCCAGACAGACCATAAAAATTGTACCGATAGGGAAGACACCGATTATCACTAGACCAATTGGTGGTTCCAGTACAGCCATAACTAGACCATGGCACCATAGCTTTTCCTGTTCATTAAAATAGCTGCATCTCTACCAATGGGTCTTCACATCCCCAGGTCTGTATCTTCATCAGTAAGTAAATAAACCTTCATTTCATCCTCCAACCCATGACCTTAAATGCATATTATTTTACTTCTACTATGAATAAAGCCTATCAACATTTCCAGAATTCCTGGTGAGAATTTCTCCTCTATATGTTACCTGTAAAATATTGTTATCAATGATGATAGTGCCAGAAGCATTTAGAGTCTATTTTTCAAATGCTTCATTTGTAAAATTTCAATTTGCTCATGACATCTAATGAAGATATCTTACCTTTAACTTTCCTTTCACATTATCTAACTTTGGAGATGACATTGATAATAATATTAATTATTTAAGCACCTCAGATGTGTTTTACTTATAATACTCTTTCATATGGAATGGACACATCACGGCACTCCATGACAACAGATAGACTACGATAGAAATGAATGAAATCTTAGCAAGTCTCTGACCCCTAGAACTGTGTATCATCCCTACAGAGCCCATTAGATTAATTCAGATCAATAAAGAAGATATTCCAATACAAATGCATAGGGTGGTAAGGGTTAACAACATCAGGAAGGAAATAATGATGAGAAAATCTCCCAAGATCATCAGGGGACTTAATCACATCATTTACATGTTAATTAAATTTACAAGGAAGAAACTGGTTTTACTTGAGTAACATATCAGTAGGCAAATACAAATTTGAAGACCAAATCTTCTTGTACAAATGTTCAAAGATTTCAAAGACAAGATATTGTTTCAATGTATGAGTTTGGAGCCAAGAACTTTTTGTATTGATTTATAAAGATTCTAACGTCTAAATTTTCTCACACAGATGTACTAACATCTTCTTATACAGATTTAACAAGATTTTGAGATCCAGATCTTCTTGTACAGATTTACCAAGATTTTGAAGTCCAGATCTTCTCAAGCAGATTACCAAAAGACATGTGTAAAAGGGGAGAACTTTTGGAGCTATATGAAGGATAGGGGTAAAAGGGGAGTGGGGTTGTAGATAAAGGGAGAACAGTGGAGACAAGTGTAAAAGGGAAGGAGAGTTGGGGACAAGGGTAGAAGGGGAGGAGTGTTGGAGATAAAGGGAAGACAGTAGAGACAGAGGTAAAAGGGGAAGAGTGTTGTGGACAAAGGGAAGACAGTGCAGACAGGGGTAAAAGGGAAGGAGAGTTGGGGACAAGGGTAAAAGGGGAGGAGTGTTGGAGATAAGGGTAAAAGGGGAGTGTTGGGGACAAGGGTAAAAGGGGAGGAGTGTTGGAGATAAAGGGAAGATAGTGGAGACAGGGGTAAAAAGGGGAGGAGAGTTGGGGACAAGGGTAAAAGGGAAGGAGTTTTGGGGAAAAGGGTAAAAGGGGAGGAGTGTTTGATATACAGGAATGATGTTTAGTATACTTACTTAAACTTGATACCACGCAGTCACCAAGGCAATTTAGCTGACAGTGTAATCCCTAAGTCTTTACAACATATGCCTGTCGTTTTAAATCTACTACTACCTTTATCATAAAACTTGGCCTTTAAAGCCCACAAAATATGTAAGAGAAGATGATGCACTGAAATATTAAACTGATACAATTCTGCTGAATTTGTCTCAATTTCTACATTTTATAGGCAATTAGAAGAACAAGCCATATATCAGTGTCACAAATGGTAAAATCTTCCAAAATGTGCAATGCCATTTTAAAGGCAACAGGATGCCAGAAAACAGTTACATATGCTTTTGGTTAACAACTGTATATGGAATAGGACATTTCAAAGTCTGGTCCTGTTCATATCATGTACAAAAATGTTTTCTCATGCCTCCGTGTTATAGATTGGGATGCAGTGTATGAAATGGCGCTCTAACATTACATCTTATAATAACAGTCAATCCACAGAAACCATCGGTGAAACTCCAAAACATTGTAAAAACCATCCCATAAACAATACAAATTTCCAGGTTTAGAGCTGGAATTTTACCCCTGCTTCCCCGAGAAAAGGCAGTGACAGGTTTACCATCCTTGCAATATCAAATTAGCATTTCATAAAAGGAAGCAATAAATCTAATTTAAAAGCATTTTTAAATGAAATAAAGATTTTTTTTCTCCTCTGTGATCAACAATGGAGTGGGTTAATTGATAGCGGAACAATAAAACAAAATTTCAGAGCCAAGAACTTTGCTTGATTAATTGTTTATAATGCGGAGAAATGAGGATGTTTTGGTGCTGTTGTATAAAGAGCATGGCAATACACTTTGTAACTTCTCATTAATGTTTAGAGTTAGGATTGTTAAAAAGGTATAATAAAAGATTTTTACCTTATTCTTGACTACACGAGGGACCAACTTCCTATCCTATTGGTATTTGACAAGACACACGCTCTCCATACATGCAACAATAATTGTTGATTTTAACATAGTTATGTTAAAATAAACAACCAAACCAAACCATTGATCAGATGCTTAATTAGATAAATAAACTGTTGCTACATCTTTTTTTCACTGTTTTGTTTTTTCAGTTTTTTTTTTCCCAAAATTAATCCTTCCATTATTATTAATATTACTAATATTAATAGCTCTA